AACATCACAGAAACAACAGAATGGCTACTGCCTCATTTAATTCATTTCACATTGCAAGTTTAAGTAATTTCAATCTTTTGTATTTACATCACGCTACATTATATTTTCTATAAATCCAGACTTTCTGTAAATCCAGAATTCAGATGACAAAGAGGACACAGAAAAAATTTAGCTATATCTCAGAAGATACCATTAATTCAAATCATTTGGAATTCACATTGCATACCAGGAAAAAAAAGAAACCAAAAATCCCGGTTTACTATTAAACTTTTGAACTCAAGTCTGTCAAATTCCTTTGCAGATAAACAGAATTATTTTTGGCCAAGTGATGAAAGTTTGCATTTCATCAGGATTAACAGATATAGGGAAATTATAGAAAAAGAATCAGAATCATCTCATCAATTATAAATCACTGGCACACCTGACACCTCATTAGTTTACAGAAAGGAAAGACAGCTGCAAAGTTGTTTGAGGTAAACACAGAAGTCTACTCTAACAAATTATTCTTAAATTATAGTACTTAGTCTGCTTCTCCATGGCAATGTTTCCCTGATGATTGCTTTGCTGATTGGAGGCAAACCCTGCAGAAGGTTGTCCTAAGACACAGATGGAAGCACAGAGAAAGAGACCTCTCCAGAATACAGATTATAGACCCTGCCTCACTCTGCTGTGGTGCAATGGAGCATCTGCACCCACGTAAACACTACTGTGAGCACAGTTTATGAGTGGATCGTGTATCTTTCCTAGTAGAGGAGAATGGAACTTGCTTTCTGGTGCACAGTATTTAAAAAGGGAAATGAAAACACTTGAATTGACATTGAATTTTGAATCTTTCAGACACCAGTCAGAGGTATCACACTACAGGGAACTGGGAATAAATTAAAGCAGCTTTGTGCTGTGTTTTGTTACAATTTTGTCCAGCGACTGACTCTGCAATTTCTTTGCAGGGAACAGGTTACCTGCAGCAGTCATGAGCTGCTGTCCAAAACAGTAACATGCACAAGACACCTGAACAGAGATGACGGTATTAAAAACTAGCGAGCATGGAAAGAAAAGGGTAAAGAAAGGAAGATTATTACACACATGAAGAACTATATCTGTTCCTCAGGGGAACATAAGTGAAATAGGTACAACTCTCCTTATCTTGTTAAACCAGAACCTCCCAAATGCACAGACCTTCCATCAGGAGAAATATGCTGTCACATTCACACTTTCCAGGGTACCACCATATATCCCATTTTTTAAGATTCTTCTCTTCAAGTGTAAATCAGTGTGAATCAACTTTCCTCAAGTGTGAATCAATGTGAACCAGCAGAGGCCATGCTGCCTGGAGCCTTAAAAAAAACTGTCGAAACCTGGACTTGAAAATTTTTCTTTGCATATTTTCCTAAGAGATGCCTTCCCTGAGAAACTCAGGTATCTCAGAACTCAGCACAGTCAGTAGAACAGTCAATTGCTTTTTAATTAAAAAGTCCATTGAAATTTAGAGAGAGAAAGTATTCACTGGAGCATTAAAGTAATTATTCGTTTAACCTACGCTATTCTGTTTGACTTCCAAACCACTTTCAATCAACTGGTTAGTGTGCACAACGCAGTTAGGTGCTACAGAAATATCTAAATTTATTATGTTAAATTTAATGAGAGCAATGACGGAGTCCTTTAGCTACTTGGCAGACTACCGTTGGGCCCAGTGCCTCTAAAGAATGACACACTCTTACATTTACTTAATTTACTTTAACTGAACGTGCCACTTTTTGTAGTGCAAACAACTGTAAAGTTGAATTTAAAAAAAATAAATAAATCTGTCCTTTGCTTTCACATTCTCCCTAATATTTCCAACACACAAACCTCGCTTTTCAACATTTACAGCTTCCATATATGCTAAGAATGTGTTTCCTCAAATGTCCTAGAGCAGGAAAGACTCCTACTTCCTTCTTTACTAGCACTGATTAGATAGCTAAGATAGTTAACTCACAGAGATACCAGTACAGACACAAAACTATCCTAGCGATTTCAGAAGTCACCTTAAATGTACAGTGACAGTGCAAATTCACACTATTTTAAAATTCCAGAAAAATGGCATAATAGGAGGAGTAACCCTAACAGATACTTTTCCCACGAGTTTTCATTAATAACATGTCGAAGCACTACTTTTTTCATTATATTCTTGAAAAAATTAAGGCACTGCCAATCTCAATGATAGCAGCAGTATGTAGTTCCTAACTCACATCATCTGCTGCAGCTCGTATAGCTTCTCATCTTTGGAGAGGCAATGCTTTAAGCCAAAGTCCTCCAAATGTGAGTCAGTAGCATTCATTTTAAAACATAAAACTAACATACATAGGTGCAACACTGATTAAAGACTAATTCAAGTATTTGATTCTGTCTCCATGTATGCAGAATTGGCGTTACTGTCCCAAAAAGGCACTAATACAACAAATTCATTTGTGTTCCACTCAGGCAACAAAAATAGCAAGGTGGACAAGTGACAGATGAAGTGTGCACTGTTGGAGTCATCCGTGGTGAAACACCTGTGTAAGCAAGGAGTTTCAGCCTCAGGTGTTTTGCAGAAAGTGCCCAGGAAGCCTGAAGGTGGGCCCCACACTGAGGTACAGAGCTTTTTAGGATTCCTTGGCTCCCCATGAATGCCTGGTGCCACTGTTAAGAGAAAACTGCAGGGGACCACTTTGTACTTCATGGCATAAGTGATGGTAGTAGGCATCCTACAGCTGTAGCTGAACTACTTATACTCCGAAAATCTTATGACAGAAATAAATGCTCATCTGATCAGCAAATATCCTAAGCAGACCTTAACCCAAGAGTTCAGCTGTTTTATACAGAGACAGCCTACAGACGCCAGAGACCTGATAGTCCTTAGTGAAAAAAAGTATCATTAATTCTTTATCAGCAGTGTAATGAGGAAGGTTAATTAAAAATATTAACAGCATGTCGGGTTTTTTTTGCTACCTTTGCATATTTTTTTTCCCCACAGCTGTTAGAAGAATGGGATAAACTCACGGTTCAAATACAGCTGGTGTTTATGCAGGCCATGGTTACCTTAAATCTGTGCAACACCCATCTTTCTTCATTGCACTTAGCAATGCAAACATTCGTTGCACCTCCACGCTGTGGAAGCAGCTTCTCCCACACTCCCTGGCAGACTCAAGAACATTTAAACTACATGAAACACCAAACTGATGTCATTTCCCTTTCTGGCCCTTGTCTGTTTTTTCCCACTGCACCAAGTCTCTTCCGCTTCCCTAGGCAGTCAGAAATGACAGATAAGGGAACGCAAAGAAATGGAGTGTAAATGTAAAAGGAAATATAATTGGTTCAAGACTCTCTACTGTCTTCAATTTTGTACAGTCATTTACAGCTGTCTAAAGTGTGTGAAACACTGGCACCCAAGTGAGAGAGTAGGCAATTAAGATTTTGTACTCCTTCACAATCATTCTGCACAGATGTAAACTACTGGATACAGTTCAAGAAGCAGTGACACACTGAGTGCTCTGGTTTGAAGGCCATGTCGCTCTGCCAAGAAGGATGCTGCTTTTCCCTGATGTGTTTTCACAGCTCAGTCCTGGAAGATGCTGAATTCTTGGACCCCAATCCAGCAGAAGTGCTTAAGTACTTACTTAACATTGCAAACTCATGCATGTAAATACTTTCACTATTTGCAGAAGACTATTTTGTAGGCAGGGAAAGCAAGGCCCCAAAACCAGGCAAGCTTAGGCCAGTATTACTCAAGAAGTCTACTTTTCAGCCAAACATTTTATGTTTTGACCATGAAACGGGAAACTCTTTAAACAATAATATCAGGCAAGCCAAGTTCTGTATTAATAAAACTAAGAGCAAGTCAAGGTAAATGGAAAGTTATTTTAGAAACTAAAATTGCCTTCAACATCTAATGCCTATATAAATGAAATGCAAAACTTTTTCCTTGAGTCACAGACTGAGGATCGACCCTGTCTATAACTGCTACCCATTGAGTACCAGGCTAATAGCAAACTGGATGGTAGTTTTACTTCAGTATTAAAGAGGTGTCTAAAACAGTTACATCCTTTCCTTCAAGCATCAGTGCAGAGTGGGAGTAGGATGGACAAATGGAAGGTTCATTATCCCCCAGTTTTCAGTACAGGTCACTGTAAAATGGGCAGACTGGGGAATGCAAATAATGGAGCAAAACTGCACAGAATGGCTGCAACAACACAGGTAGCTGCAGAGTTGTGGATGGTCAGATAATGTTAAATTATATTTTAATCATTAAAATCACTAGAATAATAAATATACATTTTAAATATTCACATTTGAATTTCCTTCTGGACTACTTAAGAGCACATTCTACTGATATTTTTAAAATCAGATGAAAACATAAATGAACAGTATTCTTGTTTATTAATCTTCAGACTTTGATTCTGTAAAATATTCTTCATACATTTTAAGAGACTGAACAAAGCAGGGGAGTCATCCTTTTAAAGAGTTTGCACTGACTGAAAAACTAAAAGAACTTGTATTGTTTAGAGGAAAGAAGGGCCTACAGTCTACACATAAATGTAAGAAGTATGCAGTAGTACAACAGTTCTCTAATTAATTGCATTACTGTAACGTCTAAACACAAAATATGCCTTTTCTAAGCAAGCATTTCTTCTGTCTTAACTTAACCTAAAATTCTTAAATGGTACCAACGGGACCATCCTTACAAATTGTCAGGCATAGGGCTTGTTTGTTTGCCTCTCATGACAACACATCCCAAAATACAGCGCATATTTCAACTTGTTATTTTCTGAGTCGTCTGCCAAACTGCAGATGAATTGTAAACATGAAGAACATGTTAAGCCTATTCAAGCCTACAAAAAAAAAATTTAAAAAATCAAGTCTTGCACAGTAAACTCTGCTATAATTTCCTGATGTAGGTCAAAACTCAGCAG